AATAAGTTGTGGGGACCAATGTTGTTTAAGTTAATAAAGAGTGTGCAATTTTATAAAATTGTTTACATAAATGTTATTCAAATTCTTAAAATTCTATATCTTTATCTTGTGAAAAATTATTGCAATTTTAAAATTTATTTTTATTATTATTACAATTTTAAATTGTATTATTAATTAAATTTTATTCTTTTATATAGATAAAAGCAATTAAGAATGAATTTATCTATTTACCTATTTAAATACAATCAATCATTCTCACGTTATCATATGCAATTGAAATTTCATTTACATTTAAAAATATGTTTGTATTTCTACATCACATAAGTTTAAAATTCATTATTGTATTAGATGAAGAAACTACTTTAAGACGGATAATATATAAAAAAATGAATTTTCTTATAAGTAATAAGTTTTGGATAAAATTTGGAAACTATTAAATTGTTTGAATTAAAAAATAATGTAAAGAACGAAACATGTAAAAAGTTTTGAAATAAAATTGGAATCTTAAAAAAAATTAGGATTGTCAAGTAAAGGTAAAAATGAAATATATAAAAACTTCTAAGAAAATACTAAAATTTATTTTTTTAAAAAAATTGGGCCTAGTAAAGATTTATATGATAAAACCTAAAATTCGTGTGTATGAAATCAAATTTTTGACAAAGCCCCCAATGCCCCTTTTTTCGTCCATTATTGTTTTTAAATGGGTTAAAGTTTTAATTTGGTTCCTTTACTATCTCAATTTTTATGTTTTAGTTGCTTTATTTCAAATTTAATGCCTGCACTTTTAGTAAAAATTTATTAGCAAAACTTTTCGTGGTATTTTCGATTATCATTTCATGGTATAAAGCTTTGAAGGTATTGACAAACAAAATTGTAGTATCTTTTTTAATGAGTGGTGGTTGGACTTGAGTATTAGTTTCCCTCCAACTTTTGGCATATTTTTTAAAGTTCAAAATATCTTTCTTTTCCATGCTTTATAAAGACAGACGGTTTGGTGTCAACTCTATAATATGCTTGTATTGTGCAATAAAGACCCTTGCTAGTTCCCTCGAGCCATGGATGCAAGTTATATCCAATTTAACATAACACTTTGCAGTAGATCTAGTGAGGCTATATTGAAAAACATTAATTAGCATTTTAGTCATTATGTGTGTGCGCAACCATCTTATGATAGTACATTGTGACATATGTTGTTAGACATTTAATTCCATCATATTTCTCGAACGCAAACACCTTAAATTTAGGTGAAATCACTATTTCATGAACTAGACATAGTCTAGCAACATCCATTGAGTCATATAAATCCATCCCTTCAATAACTCAGAGCCTTTTCTTTATAAAATCCATTTTTTGTTGAAATCTAAAACTTTTTTTAGTTTTTATTGTACCTATTTCAACTTCTCTTGTTTCTTTGAATCATCTAAATTAGGAACTTGAGTTGGATTAGAAACTTTCACATTAGGAACAAGAGTGATGTGTCCTTGAAAGTACGTAAGAATCGTTGCTAAAGGCATGAATGAAATTTGAGGTTGTGCCCTTTGGGATGCTTGAGCTTGCTATGAGCCAAAACCAAGTGGGTGTAATGGATCATCGATATTTTCGTTTTGGACAACATCTTTGACCACTATTTTCATTTGCCCAGATTTTTCAATAACTCAACTATGTGTTCTAATTACCCCTTCATTTTTTTTTTGTGCCTTTTCCACCTTTTTGGATGTGAAGAGCTTGTTCTTTTATCATAATTTTAGCTTGATATCAAATGTTGTATTGCCTGAAATTATTCAAAGATTGAGCTATCTTTCAAGCTTTTTTACCACAATTAAAGCACCATATTATGAATAATTATGTATAAATGAATATGATGCAACACAATCTAAAAATTCAACAATGATGATGCATGGATATACAATTGAAAAAAATGTGTTAGTATATACAATGTATTCAAAAATAAAAAAAGAGAAAGAAATACAATTTTTAGGTAAAAGAATAGATGTCTCTTCATGTATCTTGTTTTAGGGTTTTCTATACAAATGTAATGGTTAGGCTCTAACTTAGGGTTTGATTTTTAGGGTTTATTTACATGCTGGGTTTAAAGTTTTAACAATCTAAAAGCTTTTAAATTATTCCTTATATCATTATCTATTATAAACTAGTAAAGCATTTTAATCTTCGTCTCCTATTATAGGTTCAAATGAAAATAGTTCAATTTGAATGAGTGTTTTTGATAGCTCACATGAAGATTATCATCTTATGAGGGTGTAGGTACTCGTTCTCTCCTAATAAATGACAAAACTTGGGTCTAAAACTTATGCATAAATGTGCAAATGCAATGTGTGTTTGAAGGAACAAACAAACCTTTTGATATTTTTCACATATCCAAATCTTACATGCCTCAAATAAATGCTATATAAATATATAAAATAAACAAATAAATTAGGACACATGAAAAATAAAATGCTACAAAAAATACAAAACAAATATATTAGTACACATGAAAATCATAAATAATCACATAATAAAAAACAATCAAAATAAGGCTTAATATAACATAAAACATATAACTAATTAATTGCTTGACTTTTTAAGTTTCCAATAAAGTCATCAAACTATCATAATATTCAAGTCTAAGAACTTGCGCATTAGATAAAAAAATAACGGAATCGTCACTAATTTTTTTTATCTAGGGGTGATTGATCATCTATGTAAATCTATCATTTTTAATATTGTCCTAAACTTGAGTAAAGCACTATAAAAGAACAAGTTCTTGTTTACATCACTAGAATTAAGTTCGTAAGTCAATTACATACAAAGAACGTTTTAACACTCCAACAATACTTTCAAATTGGTATCAAATTAGTCTTATGTTATCTTATCTAAGCCTTAGTCAAAAATAATTTTTGTTAATATTGAAAAAAATCTTTAAGCATTCATCTAAAAGAAATTTTTTTCACCTAAAAAATATTCAAAATAAACTTGTTTATTGGAAGAGACTTTGTTATTAGATTTATTAAATTATCTTATGACAAAGAAACCAATTTATTCTCTTTTATTTATTTACAAATATTAATTATAAATAATGATAAAAACATATTTACAACTTTTTAATCATAATATATTTACACTTTTCTAAAAATATAGTTCAATTTTATTTTCATCAATTAAATAAATCAATAGGTAAAAATAAAACCTAAATAAAAATAAAGAATAAATAAATAAATATAGAAATAAATAAGTAAAAAAATAACAAAACTAAATAATTTCATAAAAAAATTATTACCACAATTATTGTCCCAAATCTCTTTAGACAACAAATGAATATAACTCCATAATAAATAAAAATAAAAGAAAGTATACTTAACCAATGCTCTTGGACCAATCTGAAATAAAATCTACTACCAAGAAAAATTTTGGTTGACTGTGTTTGTTTTAGTACGATGTATATGACTTTAAAAAAAAAAAAAACTTTATGATTCTTCTTGATTGTTGTTAATTACTTAATTTGTTGTGTCAATTGCTTGATGATTTTTTTTTATAATCTTGAAATTGAGTTTTTTATATAGGAATTGAGTCTCTTTTTAATTTAAAAAATTTTAATGTCCACTAAATTTATTAAGATCGTACTATTTTTTTTTCTTTCTTTTAGAATCTTGATTTCGAAAAATTACTAAAATCAAATTTAACTTTTAAATTTTAAATCTAAATAAAATCATAATTTAAAAAAAATCAAAATTTATATTATTTTTCTACCAAATAACAAAACATAAATAAATTAAATAAAAATAATATAAATAAATTAAAATTACTTTTAGGTCTTTAAATTGGGACTTAAAATCCACGTTCATAAATTAAAATCAGGTTGAGTAATTTTGTAACATATATCAAAATAAAATTTAAAATCCGTTGAATATTCAAAAAAGCTTTCGAATAAAATGAAATGCTTATACTAATAAAAATAAAATAATTTACACAATATTCCATTAATATACTTAAAATAAGTTTCCAGTAAAACAGAAAATATGATATAAATATTTCACATGTAACAAAATTGTATTCATGATGTGTCACGTAGGAAAATATTATTATTTATTTTTATAAAATTTTACTAAAATAATTTCCTAGTATATTAAATTATAAATAGTTTTTGAAAAAAAATCTAATTCATCAAATAAATTAGAATTAAATAAACATAAAAAGTTCTAATCAAATAAAAATACAAGTGCTGTTCGAAACTTAAACATAACTACAACCTTAGTTTCCAGAAACATTACTTGCATTCTTTGATCGAATTATAACTTTTGGCGTTTATTTTAATTCTAATTTATCGAAAAAATTAGAATTAATTTATTTTAAATTTAAGATTTAAAAAGTATTTATTTTAGCATCAAATTTTATAAAAAAAAAAATGCCAAGTGTACATTTTTGGTACATGTGAAATACTCACATAATATTTTTTATTCTATGAAACACTTATTTTAGATACTCACATCACATCCTTTTATCTCTTATTGTATTTTTCAAGCTTTGTACCAATTGATAAATTTAATCATATTAAGTACTGACATGAAGGTGTGCTAAGATTCACACGAAAATACAAAAATTAAAAAAAAAAATCTACAAAAGAAACGGATATTCTCACACTAAAGTGCACGTGTGCATACTCTTCTTTATGTGCAATATCCATATATCGAGAAAACAAAAACATAAATTCCCATTTTTAATCCTAAGGATTTGGTTTATTAAAATTGAAAAAAAAAAAAAGGCTGTATAAAACTAGTTCATGTCTTTAATGTTGATCCGATTACTTTTAGACATGATACATGCCACAAATACAAATGAAAAAAAAATATATGAAATTGACATGTTTAAAATTTATATATATATATATATATATATGAATTTAACAAAACAAAGTTTTGTTGCATTGGATGTATCGTCAGGAAATGTGATTCGGTAATTTTCATATTTTGCATGTATTTGGCACAAAATAAACTCAACATAAATACTTCAAATTTACTTTCAAGACTCCGTTAAGCTTAATAGACAGGGTCAGTGGACTCTAGCACTCAGCTCCGGCAGAGACAAAAATAATAGTAGCATACTTTGCTCAATGCAAGTACATATATGAATGATTAGAGAACAAAGAAAATTGTGTCATGAGAGTTGAGACTCATGACTAGCTACCTGGGAAAATGTTGAATGATATGCCTAGCAGTCCGGTGTATAATGCTCTATCTCCTCACAGGATTTCCACCTCGAGGGGGTGCCTCGAATGTGCTTCCAGCATGAGCAGGAGGTGTTGCAGATCCATAAGGTCCATTGTTCGGAGGTGTTGCTTGTCCATGTGGCACAGCAAGAGTTCTAGCTGTTGCATCAAAGGTTGCACCCCTGGATGTATTGTTTACAGATCCTCTATGGGTGTCATAACCAGCTCCCCTCTGTGCATCGTAAATGGGCACCCTTTGTGATTCATAACCAGTCCCTCTTGACACATCATAACCAGCTCCTTTTGATATGTCATAAGCAGGTCCTCTAGAAACCTCGTAGCCAGTCCTTGTAGGAGCACGTCCAGGCTGAGCTCCAACATAAACAGCAGCACCGACACCTGCATTTGCACCAGCAACAGCAGATGGTAGAGGACCAAGTCTCTGTGATGCAAAATGAGCAGAAAGTCATAAATCTACAACATAGAATTATCAGACAAAATACAATCATCGCTACATTGAATTGTGGATGCATAGAAATTCGAAACCGAAATTAACAACCACATATTACAACGGAGGCAGACGTGTGGGAAGAACTCTACTGCAGTTTGTCCATATACTGTTTCATACTTCAAAAAACTAATTAATCCATGTTTATTTAACAATAAGCATTAACTTCCAAAGATCCTAAAACATTAGTACGTTTGCAGTTAAATATCTAAATTTTTTGTTTTCTTTTTATTGTGCAGAAGTCCATACTAGCAGTTGAACACATACCCATGACGTATTTATGTTTCAGCACACAGATTTATGCCAGCAACCATATAAATACTTCCAGGATTGGTTTTGATAGAAATAAAATAAACAAAATTGAAATCTCAAACTTAACTTGATCTTGGTCAACTATAACCATATTCAAAATATCAGGAATGCATAGTATCTTTAACATGACTATAACTTTTCAACTAACTATAACCATATGCAACTCTTTAACACTGACTAATTTTTTCAATTAAATGTAACCATATGCAAAATATCCTGAGTCTTTCAGAAAATGATATGATTTATTTTTCTTAGAAAAAGGTTTAACACGACTTCCATTCACTCTTTTTATATGTTTCTTTGTAACCCATCTGTAGATAATGTATGACATGGGACTATGATATTCAAGTAAAAAAATTATAGAAAGAAAGACTAGAAAAAGCCATTGTGGAAGATTACACACCTGGTGAATACCATAACCATCTTCATATGCATTTTGTCCCATGGGATGTCCAGAAGCATCATTCTCTTTATTTCCTGTGGCACTACCATATTGCCCAACTGCATTTGGTTGCCAAACGTGAGCCATCCACAGTGGTAATAAAGCAAAAAAAGAGCAAAATCAAAGATCTCAAAAAAGAAAAAATCAGAAGAAAGGATACCAGTTCTTCTGTCAACATTAGCAGCATTCATCAGCTCCGCTCTAAGCTTCTCCACTTCCCTAGCCATGATCATATAATTTTTCTCCATCACCTGAAGTGATTCAAGGTGATCATTGTAAAATTTCTTTTCATAGTCAAATGTAGCCCTGCATGATCAAGAATAGGTCATCACATAATTGAGATAAATGGAGAAACAACTCCAAAAAGAAAGACCTGAAAGAAACAGGCATGCTTGGAGAGGAAAACGAAGAAAGAAAAAACTTTTTGAAAAAACAAAATTCTACATTGGACTTCCAAACAGACAAAAATGAGTTTTAATATTAATTTCCTGTTCAATACCAGCCATTCTAAATCTTTCTCAACTTTGCTCCCAAAACATCCATAGACAAGAGCACAACAAAAACCTGCAATGCTGATATTCCTGTCTGAGGCTCTCAAGTTCTGCCATCAGTGCTGGTAACTGTTGCACATCTACGTGGGCTCTCTGAAGATCTAGATTTAATTGATGCACTTTGGACATAAATTCTTCCCTTGCTAAAACCAAATTCTGAGCTTCAGCATGTGCCTGCTGCAACTCTACCTTAACAGGCTCAGCTCCTTGCAGTTCAGCTTCCATCTTAGCTATGTTATCTGTAAGGTTCTTCATTTGTTGTTCTCTTTCAGATGTTATGGTTCCTATCTGACCATGCAATATCTGCAACTCATGCTGTGCAGCAGCAAGTTCCTGTCTCAATGTCCCATGGGTAGCAGCAAGCCTCTGGTTTTCTGTACCAAGTCTTTGCATCTCCACATGCTGTGCAGCAAGCTTTTGTTCCATGATTTCAGGAGGTGGCAACATATCAAAATGTGGAAAAGGACTTGGGTGGGGTAAAATTCCCAGACCAAATGGGTCAGGATGTATCATGCCAGGGCCAGGGAGAGGATGCCTCAAATTAGGGGGTGGAATTCGACCTTTGCTTCCCATATTTAGTGTCTACTGTATGACCTGTGCAAAGAAATACAAATTATAAGAGCACTGCAGATTCTCGACTGTGATTTGACTAAAAAAATGCAATTTGAAAACTACTCATGCATCAAGTGACATGAGTAACAATTGGATATTGATGCACCACTTTGGGACTTTTGTCCATACATCCAATACAACACAGTCAAGGAACAATAAATACAACAGAACGTACAGTTGAATTTAAACTCAATGACAAAAACATCATGGAATATGTAGAACACTTCAATACATATCATGGCTTATCATCAAAGTGATTCATCATGAAAGTGATTCCTCCTTTATAATATCCTAGTCCATTGCATTTCGCTCATGCAAACTTCAGGCTGAAGTAACATTATATCATCTCAATGTCCGGTATATTAGACATAAAGTTGATCCACAGCAGTCATTTACCAAACAACCAATCATATAAATAAACACACGAAAGGCCATAAAGAGAACATCAAAGCTCATAATTGATTATGAAAGGACCCCTATCTACAGCATAAGTGTCTAACATAAAGAGAACATTACTTTTTTATTTGTTGGTTTCCATGTCAATGTCGCTGTAGCTCAATAGTCTAACCAGTGAGCCTCTTGTGCAATTCCAAATGAGGCCTTTATAATAAACACTATATCCAGCTATCTTCCAAATTTTATATTCACAAGCTAAACTCTAGAAAATGGGATAGGTTCCGCTGACACAAACTGAAGTCATAGCCATCATAGAAAGCCTGGGAGTTGCATGCAGCAAAATGCGTGGTAATCAGCACAGGCAGATTCAAAGAAGCCTAGCAAAAGTTTCAAGTGTAATTGGCCCTAACGTTGACTTTTGCATTAAAGATCCTAGTAACAGTTTTACAAATGATTTTTTCCCCTTTTCCACAGCTTCTTAGTAAAAGTTAAGTTAATTTCAACAACCGAAAATAAGAGGGAAGTTTCTAGCACATCAATAGCTTGGCTAGATAAAGTACATCCTCTTTGCAAAGAAGGGATAATATCACAATTCACAAGTTGTTTATCAAAAAAAGAAGTCACTTTGGTCCAAGGAAAGATGTTCTTGGTAGCTAATTAGGCATTAGGAAAGTAATTTATTAGTATATTCTCAGTTTTTGGAGTCCAAGGGTATGTTGATAATTTTCTGTTTTGCTAGACGGGACCTTAGTCATGGTCCATTAAGTCTTATTTTTGAGTTTAGACAAATTATTAGGGCTTTTATGTGGTCTTGAGTTGATCATAGTCAAGTATTGGAAACTCCATCCCTTATTTCTACTCTATTCTATCTCTACTGCTACATGCTTCAGGGCAGAATTCACGGAACTAGAACAAAACCATGAGTTTGTTTCGTTGTCATTCCAGCAATCTTTCCCTGAAATCTGACTCTCTTTGACTCCCTAACCCTATTCCCTAAATTCCTACCATAAACCTTAAAACTCATATCTCTAAGCAGGTAGACTTCTCCAAACCTGTACAAAATCAGAAATGACAACTGACCCTCTTTAACTTCCAAACCCTATTCCTAAATTCCTACCATAAACAGTAAATCATAAACATTAAAACTTATACCTCCAAGCAGGTACACTTCTCCAAACCTATCCTAAATCAGAAATTACATCCGACCTCTTTCACTCCCCAACCCTATTCCCTAAATTCCTACAATAAACGGTAAACCATAAACTTTAAAACTCACATCTGTAAGCAGGTAGGCTTCTCCAAACCTGTCCTAAATCAGAAACCCTCTTTGACTCCCAAACCCCATTCCCTAAATTCCTATCATAAACGGTAAACCATAAACCTTAAAACTTATATCTCTAAACTGGTAGACTTTCCCCAACCTGTCCTAAATCAGAAATTACTCTCTCTATAAAAGGAGATATTGGTAATGATGTAGCATATCATTCAACGTTAATGAAAATAAAATACAGGGGTGGGTATCTTTCCTTATGTATGAAACATGAAACGTTATCTTTTTATGGTCAAAGAAAGCAATCTAAATTCTACAGATTTGTTTAACATTCACATTTTGAAGGAAGCTAAAACAACTGCTCAATGTCTAATGGCAATATCACTTAGCTGAATTAATCATATATTCTATATATTTTTCATAAAAAATTTAAAAAAGAAAACATAAAAAAATCCAAGAAATACAACAAATTTTTGTTCATTCCAAAAAATAATTGCTAAATTTTAAGAGATTCATTGCAAAATCCAACCGTTGAATGCAATTTTATGATTATTTATTTATTTTTCATTTTCGAAATATCAACAATAGATTAGAGAGTTTGAATTCTTCTAATTAGTAATGTTCCTTTTCTTTTTCTTTTAAGTTCAATTTAGTTAAAGCTAAACCCTAGAAACAATTAACAAGAAATCATCGAAATTATTAATTACAAAAAGAAAAAAGAAAGACCGAAAATCAAGCGACGAAGCGGAGTTTGGGAATACCTGAATGCAGAAAATCGTAGTAAAGATTGTTGAAGCGATACAGCGGCAGGAATTTCCAAGGCAATAAACCCCTGCAATTATTTATTTTTCTTTCACTATTATGAAATTAAACGATCCAAAGTTTTCAGGATAAATACTCAATAACCTTCAAATCTTTGTTTAAAGAAGGTCACAAGGATTTTATTGTGAAGTCTACGACATCTAATAAAAAATAAAAATAATTAAAAATAATAGGACAAATTAATAGATCAATTAAAAAATATAGAAATAATTTTGTTTATTTAATAAATAAAAAAATTATAAATTACATATTTTATACTTATTTTCATCTATTTTATAAATAATAATGTTAAAATAAAAATTTAACTATAGTTATATCATATATTAATTTAATAAATAATATTTTGTTATTTCTTTATTATTAACAGGTAACAATGCTACAATAATAATTAACACAAATTCAGTATTTATTTTAATAATTTTTTATTTTTAAATTAAAATATTAATTGTTTTATCTTTTTTTAATCTTAAAATTAATTTTTAATTAGTTGTTATATATTTTACTTTTATTTATATGATTTTTCTTTTTAATCATAAAATTTTATTAAAATAAATCATAAATATGAAAGTTACCATTTTGTTTGTATGATTTCTTATTTTACATAAATACTTTAATAGTTTGATTACAAATTTTGAAGTCTTTTTATAAAAAAAAATTTAGTATATTCGAAACGTCACTCAATCAAAATGTGACATTTTTTATTATTATGAAAATATTTTTACTATACAATGAAAAATAAAATTATTTCACAAATATTTACGTTAATAAACTTTTAATACTAAAAATAGTATAATGATAATTTTCAAATGTAAGAAAAATTTTACTGTTCCTATCACTTGTTTATGTTAATAAGTGTTTTGTTATTTATTACTTATTTTTTATATATTTATAAAAATAATAATTAATTAAAACTTTATCTACTTGCAGTTATTCTTATTTTCGTTATATTTAAGATTGTCATTATTATTTCTTATTTTGTTAAAACACTTTTTACACATTTTATACTAAATAATACGAATTTTATGTTTTCTCTCGCATATTAAGTTACCAAATTTTTTATTATTTATTATATTTTTTTATATATTTACATAAATAATAATTCATTAAAATTGTATATTGTCAATTTAATTATTTATGTTACAATAATATTTTTATATGATTGCTCTTAAGTTTCAATAAATTTAAAACTATCATAACTCCTTTTTAATGTGTTATAACACTTTTTAACTATTTTACGTTAAAAAATACGAATTTTATATTTCTTCTTACTTGTTTACATTATCTGTTTATTTTTAAAATTTCAACTATTTTTTATATTTTTAAAAAATAATTAATTATACTTAATTATTTACGTTACAATAATATTTTCCTTCAATAACGTTTATCTTCTATAAAATTTAGGATTATTATAATTTTTTTAGTATGTGTTATGATACTTTTTATTAATTTTATATTAAATAATATGAATTTTATGATTTCTTTCATTTCATTACAATACAAACTGTTTTTAAAGGCAAACAATTTGAGGCAATAAGCTTGTTTGCCTTTAAATCAAAATTTTCAAAGACAAATGTCATAAAAGTCACTATATTTAATAATATTTACCTTTAATTGATATATTATTTTTAATTAAAAATGTAATTAATATAACAATTTATAATAATTTTTTTATGTGTATTACAAGAAAATGACGTATTAGCGATAATTTTATAGCATCTTTCACTTATAAACCCGTTAGCTTTCGTGTTTTTATAGAACTTCAGATGTTTATTATCAAAACGTCACTAAATTTTCAAATAGCGATGTTGATACTTATAAACGTCACCTAAGACTTGATATCAGCAGTGTTTCTGGATAAAAACGTATTGAATAATTTTTATTAAAAATTTTAGTGAATAATAAAGGCGTATTTTTTACAGTCAACGCCTTCAATAATCAAATCATAAAAAATTGTATGAGATTATTAAAGGCGTTTTCCACAAGAAACGCCTTTAATAATTTGACTAAAAAATTTCACAGGCTTATAAAAATGTTTGGATCGTACGGATGTTTACCATAAGGTTGTAGGTTCGATCCCTTTCTTTAGCCTTTTTTTTAGTTTTTTGCACAGATTATTTGTAATTGATTATTTTAGGTGTTTTCTTAGCAAAAACGCATTCACCAATTGTTTTAAAAAAAATTTCAAAGAATATTGAAGGCGTTTTTGGCCTATGGATTCTTGAAGGTATTTTTGGCCGAACTCGCCTTTTATAATCCAATAAGTAAGTTTTTGTTATGATTATTAAAGGCGATTTTTATCAAAAATGCCTTTAATAAATCACAAGCAAAAATTGAAAGGGATGCTTTAAGGCATTTTTTGCTCAAAATGCCTTTAATATTTCCAACGATAAATTTTAATGATCGGATTATTGAAGGTGGTTATATCCAGAAAACGCCTTTAAAAAAATTTTAGTTGGTATTATTGAAGGCAATTTTTGCCCAAAATGCTTTTAATATTCCACATAATAATTTTTTTTTGGATTATTGAAGGTAATTTTGGTAAAAAAACGTCTTCAATGTTTTCTGTTAGGGATGATTGAAGATGTTTTCTTGCTAAAAATGCCTTCATTAATCTTATCAAAATAACATATTTGATATTGTATGTGTAGTCAGTTGTAGGTTTATGCCAAAAAAATGTTTGCTGTTAGTTGTATATTTATGCCCAGAAAATATTTGGTTTATATATCTGATACTATGAATTACATTTTGAAATTTACATAATGAACATTGTTGTATTTCAATATATTGACCACACATCCGAAATTAAAACTGATAACGTTGTCATATTAATATACTTTTCTAAAATAATCATACTCAGTAATTTATTAAGTACACATAGTGTATTCATATTAAGTATAAAATAATATTAAACCAATACCTCAATGTACAAACTTAAAGTTTCCATTCAACATGGCATGTTAAAAATATTATAACAATTTATTCCATATATATTTAATTCAACCAACAATGTCTAACCTGAAGGTTTATCAACATTGATAAATGATAATACATAATGACACCATTCTTTACAGACTTTTCATCCAGTTCCTCTTCCGTGAAGCTTTCTTTACCTTCCCACTAAAAAAAATATCAGAAGTAAATGTTAAGAAATGAGAACATAATGTACCTTTTTATTTTTTTCAAGATATAGGGAGTTTATGAAATTTATACTAACCTTGAATGGTGTGGTCATAAAAGCATGTAACACTATCTCCCGCATAGACATAATATTCACATTCAGTATTACCAGGTTGATGAGATACCTGAAAATTAAATTGAGTGGGTTTAAAAAATATTTATCTACATAAACTCAACATAAAAATAATATATTTCACATTTACTGATAATGACACCCATTTCATTTTCTTTATCTTCTTATTAATGCAGATATTACCTTAAATTGAAAAAAAAATTATTTAATACATAAATAAAATTATTGATGAAGAAAAAAAAGATATATAATATAATAAAGTGTAATACTTCTTTATAAAAGTTTGAATATCGGAATTAGGCATCGCCATTGGATTAACTGAATTAAGTAAGTATGGCGTTAAGAATTTAGTATCAATCACAATAAGCACCAAATGATGATTGTAAAATAATAATAATGATATATTCAGATTATGCATCTGATCAGATTTGAGTAAGGTTGGAGTAATTAAAGTTGGAATATAGCTTACTATGCATTATACGGGAGCAAATAATAATCAGTCAGTCTTTTCATGCATAGAATCACATGATTAGCATGATAAACGACTGTGCCACTCTGCTCACTAATGAAGTTGGGGTTAATGAATCTAAATCTGTTAGTCAACTATCTCCCCTTAAGCTCTCTATATAGGAAGCTGCACGATAACAGTCAATACTGCCAGTTATTATTACACCCTAATATAAATTACTACATATTGAATGTGCATATTTGTATTTATAAGCTAACCTCATATAAGCAACGATATCAACAGCTGATAATTCATCCAATTCACAAAATTTTTAACCTCCTCTACACCAATGAAAGAAAATGATGGTTTATCAAATAACCATTCCTCAGACTCAATAGTTATGAAGTTTTCTCCGGATAAATGCTTCGGTGAATATTTGGATAACTCATCCATGTAAGCCTAAGCAAGGGTCATACTATGAGTCTGAACATCCTGCTACAATATTTAATGAAATATAAGTACTAAAACCAAATCAATAAATATAATAAACAAATTAATATTCAAATTATAAATAATATCATACTTATTGGGTGATAGTGGAAGATAGGATCACTTCCTTACTTCCAACAGAAGCTTTTCGTACGAGGATGATGCTATCAAGCTAGCCTATTGGCATAACCTGCTGCATTGCTACCAACATGGACTCCAAAGTAGTAAGTCTTTCTTGTTGGTCATTGAGGCGTTGCTCCTGGTCATTAATTTGTTGCTGTTGTTGCTCAATTATTGCTTCATATTGTGCATTTCTCATTCGTGGAGTTTTTTATTGTTTACCAAAAAACATTGATGGCAAGATAAATTTACCAACCCTACGAACCCGACCAGGCCTTTCTTTAGCGCCTAATGCTAAAAACAAAGAATCTTCACCATACTGGGTTGCCAGTTCACCAGATTTGACTTTGACAGCATAATCATCCTAAAAGATAATAATTAATTAGGCTGTAACAATAATTCTATATAAGCTAGTGTACACTCATGGATATAATCACAATGCCAATCATACATTATATCAAAAAAGTAGTTATACATACAATCTTTTTTGCCATTTTCTTGATTATTTCATCTATGAATGATCCATCCTTCTGTAGATGTCTTTATTTCCAAACATCCCATCTAGAAACTTTTGTGTCAAAACTCATTGATTCCTATTAAATTATCTCAATAAAAGAAATAGCTCTCAGTAATTTACATCATCAGCAAGTCAATTTTCGTGAGACATTTCAATATTGAAAAGGGAGTTGCAAACTATGTAATAACGTTTTCAGCAAATTGAAGCAGAAAGAGAACAGGAGCGTGTCAAAATTAAGAAATAACGTGTTAGAATGGAGCAAAAGCATACAAATTTTCAACAATTGCATGATCGATTCGATCATTTTA